ATTTCCATCTAGTGGATGATGTATCTGCTACTCTCCAGTGTGCAAACACCAAGGTTGTTGACTGTCGGGGGCTCAGAGCCTGTGTGGAGAAGCGTGGCCCACAGTTTTATGCATCTAAACGTGATCAACACTTGTTCTGTTGCCAAGAAGAAAACGTGGATATCAGTCCTGTAAGTTGGTTTGTCTTTTAACCATGGATCGTTTCCACAAGTTATTTCAAGTTTTACCACTTTAATATAAATAATCATTTCAATAAATTATGCAAATATCTGTATTAAACAATATAAACATGTCTCTCACAGGGTGACTCTGGTGGAGGAGTGGTGTACAATGACATGATTTACGGCGTCATTTCTTTCCATGGCAATGACTGTGTTGAAGCAGCTGCAGTGATGGACGGCTGTGGATACAAAGAGTGGATCATACGCAAAACTGGCAGTATCTTCACTAAAAAGGTCAAAACGTTGCCATGTTTTGGCCGTTTTTAACTGTAAAATGTCCTGCCATTTAACAGACATTTCCATCGATTGGTTCACATTAAATGTTCAGCTGTTACTTGTAAAACCCTTTAAGACAAAAAATGTCATGATTCTGCAACATAGCTTCACAAGGTAGTGTCTAAGTTTCTAATTCAACAGATTTTCTATGTTACCATACATTGTGTAGAAAATCTTCAAAGGGACAAACACTACAGTCTGCTGCTTTTTAAACAATGCTGATAAAAATGATAAATGACTTTTCTCTCACAAGATTGTGTCTGTTAAAATAAAATTACAATGCATCACAATCATTGTTTAACAGGTTGCTGTTGTTTGTATTATTGATCCTCAAAAAAAAACATCTTTTAACTTGCAAGTACAGATATTATTTGACCACTTGAGGCGTCAGAAACAAGTTGTAATAGTTCATTTACACTTTTGGCAGTTCAGGAGGATTGTTATCATGGACACCTGATAAATGTAAGTCTAAATATTAACTCTCCTTAAAGCTGTGTTTTTTTGTCTTGACCAACTCCTGAGGCTGATAATTGGCTATTGTTAACCGGTTAGCTAACTGTGTCTGTCTGCTGTCTGGCACTGAGCAGACAGAGTACAGTGGGTTTATAAAGCTTTTTTGCCTGCTGTGTGTGAATCATTAATAATGATTCAACTGATGCTTCACACACATCTCCAACCCAGCAGCACAGTAGACCTATACAATTACAGCAGGTTCAGGTGGACAATGTCAGAGAACTGTTTTTACAGAACGTTATGATGTCACTGTGAAGTTAGTATCTGAATTATTAAGTTATGACAAAAACAGCCTGCCACCCTCACAGCAGACATATAGAAGAGAATAAAGTGTTTAGAAAAAAGGGAGCTAATTTAAATCATATATTTTGCAATTGCAATTTATTTATTTAATTATTTTGATTAATAAACAATGTACAATGTATTACAATCTAGTAGGAGATCCAATTTTTCCAATTCAATTTTATTTATAAAGCCCAATATCACAAATCACAATTTGCCTCAGAGGAATTTACAGCATACGACATCCTTCAGACCCTCACAGTGGATAAGGAGAAACTCCCCCCAATAAAGTAGAGATGACAGTGTGTTACTTCAAATCTAGACATGTATCTGATCTGACACTTGAACTGGACTGTATTCATCATTAGTATCATTAATGACACCTGTGTTTCTTCTGAGAAGTCAAAATGTTTGCCATGAAAAAGGTCAAATCAGAACCTCTCTAACAGACTCTTCATGAAAATGTAACTTAATCGTCTTCTAAGTTTGACAAAGGTAGTATTTATTGCAGGACTGAAGAAATAGTCATTCCCAACTGCTCCAATTATTTAGTTATTTATTAATGCTTACAATATTCAGTAACAAGATGCTGTGGAAAGCCTGGACTTCAGGTCATTCTAGCAAATTTCTTTCTTAATTCTTGGTCTGAAAGTGGCAGTTTCAGTTGGGCAAACATGTTAATGAAATCAAACATGAATCTGCCTTAAAGATGCAGTTTAGACATTTTTATAACTACTGATTCAATAAATTACGTCTACTGTGTGAATCACAACGCTGAATTTATCAACAGGTGAGGCAGTTGCCGTTGTGGAGGATATTTCTCGTCAACTCAGAGCTCATAGAACCCATTGGCTCAGCTATGAGCCTAGAAAATGACAATCTGCTAGCAAGAATTAAAGTCAGTAACACTGCTTATGGTATAATTTGACAGTATGTTGAACAGCAAGACTAGCTAGCTATCCAGTGATGTCATTGTCCCAAATCAATATCAAGACTTTCACTAATAAGCAACACACCATGTGTAGTGTTACTGCTGGCTGCAGCCTGAAGGCCCTGACACACCAAGCCGACGGTCGGCCGTCGGTCAAAGTCGGGCCGTCAGTGAGCGTCTGTCGGCCTAGTTTTTGCAGTGTGTCCCGCACCGTCAGCACTTTGGCGTCGGCAGCTTTTCGGCTGATTGAGCATGTTAAATTGGCGGCGGAGCTTGTTGGTGAGAGAGATCACTCTGATTGGCTGTTCAGGTTTTATTTCCTTGCCCCTGTAGTGAGTGAATCTGCGTGTAGTGAAACCGGGGCTAACCGGTGCTTCCTCCTCAGACTCCACTTCACTCAGCTGCCCAACAGACCTGCTACTTCTTCCCACTTTAACCTGAATAACAAACCGGGGCTAGCTGTGAGGCTAGTGGAGCGTTAGCCGCAACATGACCGGAAGCACAGCTAGTTAGCCTCGGCTAGCTTCCCAGCTAGCCCCGGCTCTCTGTTTGGATCCAACTGGAGCACCGAGCCCTGGTTTGTTATTCAAGTTAAAGAACAAACAGAAAGTACATGCTACTTGGCCGTCGGATGTAGTCTTTGTAGTGTGTTCAAATGCAACTGACACAGGGCGACATGAGGCGATGTAGATGACGCAACAGTTGGCTTTCGTCGCCGCTAGTTCTTTGATGTCAGTTTGGTGTGTCCGCACCTTTAGGTAGTGCGTTGAAATGTGAATGGGATGTGAGATGATTGATTATGTGATACAAAGCCAGGGTAAGTTCCGAGAGCTCTCGGAGTAGATCTTGCAGCTTGTGTACTCAGGGCTGCCAACTTTTCAAAAAACCTTGGAGTG